TCTCTTCCCAGCCCTGGAGCCCTGGGCCGGGGGCCTGCTGTGGGGCTGGGACCCCTCACTCCTCCGGGAAACCCCCACCGCCAAGATTCCCTCCCGGTTTCAGCCCGGGCACCGGGTGTGGGCCCCCGGCCCATCTCTGCGATTCAGCCCCGATCCGCCCGCGTCTCCGCCCCTCCTCCCGGTGTGGATGCTCCTTCGGGTCCCTGGTTGTGGGGCTTCTGTGCAGCCAGCTCTCAGGAGGCTCTGAGTGACGGTGGTTCTGTGTTTCAGTTGTGATTTTGATGTGGCTGCGGGAGGCGCGGGTGCAGCTGTTACCTACGGCACCATCTTATTTCTCTGAACTGTACACTTTAAAGGGATGAATGTTACAGTTTGTGAATTAACATCTTAATAAAGATGTTAAAGCAAAAATTGAAAACAAAACAAAAACCCACCAATGTGTTTCATCACTTATTTACCCGGTTCACTTTTTTCTCTTTATCTTTGATGAGTTTTAGAGCAGTTATTTTCCTTGTTTCAAATCCTTTGTAAATATTTTCCCTCAAGTAATCTGAATATTTCATCAAAATCAGAATGACTCTTGGTGGCCCACAGGAATATTAGATTAATTTTTCATCCTATTCTTAATGTGTTGATTAATCTTTACTATACAGAATCTATAAGGTGAGTGATATAACTCCATAGTCATCAGTAATTGTTTCTTAATATTGCCTTTATTTTGAATCATATTAACTTCTTAAATCCAATGGTAATAATTTATTTTTTATGTTCCCTAAAATTCACACTTATATTCTTATATTTTGTTATAAAATAGATTTATTTTTAAAGTTTTCTATGTATCAAATTGAATCAATATTCTTTTTAAAGATAATATATTTTTATATATTTGAAAAATATTTTCTTTTGTACTCTAGAGCTGATACAGAATATATATAATGTTATTTTTAATCCTCACCAGAGGATATTTTCTCCATTGGTTTTCAGAGAGAGTGGAAGGGGGGGAGAGAGAGAGAAACTTTGATGTGAGAGAGAGACATCAGTTGGTTGCCTCCAGCATGCACCCCAACCCTTGACTAGGGCTGGGGATCAAGCCTGCAACTGAGGTACTTGCCCTTGGCTGGAATTGAACCTGGGACTGGTTCAGTGGACTGATGCTGTAACCACTGAGAAAAACAGTCTAGGGCTATAATGTTTTAATAAGCAGGCTGTTTTCTCTGTCTTAAAGTCTGGATTTTTGAGAGACTATATAGATTGGTTTGGTTAACAATTGATTGCACAGCTTATGAGTTCTTGAATGATGTGTATGGTAAATATCACTATTCTAGAAAAGAAATAAAACTAGAATACTGCAACAATATGAAAAGCAAGCAGAATAAAGTGGGAGTTGACTGAGGAAAGGAACTCTTGCTGAGTTTTTTAAGCCCACATGTTAAGTGATAGCAGCATGCTGGAGGGGGCACTTTAAGCAGACATGAAATTTATTTAAATACCTGAAAAGTTATCTTAGCAAAAGATCATATGATCTGTTGATGAGTACACAATGAAACTATGAAACTTATTTTCAAATTTCAGTAGGCTTCAAATCATAAAAACATAGAATTTCCATAGAAGAAGACCTGAGGCTCAGTCAATTATTCCATTCCCCTGGAGTCTCATGTAAGTTAAATAACTTGCTTTTAGGAACAAGCTGGCTCTAGTAGCCCAACCCATGCATTGGCCTGTTTGACAGTATGCTTTCCCTAATTTAGTTTTCTTTTTATTTAACAATAGATCCTGTCTGTGCCCCAGGTATGTTGTTTGGCTATGCTTAGAATATGACATGAAATACTCCAGTGTTTATGAATGAGAGAATCCATCATTTATATTTAAAATGTTTTTTAAGTGCTTTTAATTTTTTCTTATCAAATATGTTTATTAAGCAGTCCATGATAAATTATCCTTATGATTTCTAACTTCCTTATTTTGCTTTATAAGTTATTTTACTCATTGATTACTGAAGTAAACTCTATGCTGTAGAAGCAAATAAAACATATCATTATAACTATATATTTGAATGTTAGATGATTCTTTTATAAATTGTTGCTTTAATGAACTTGTGTAGCTTCTATTCTTGTTCTCTTACTAAGTGCACTTGTAACAATATTATGGTGAATAAAATCTGACCTGAGGGTTTTTTGAGGGTTTTTGTTTTTAGGGGGTTTCTTTTTTAGTTATTATTATTAGAAATAATTTCTTTTGTATTTACAGCTGGTTTTAGAAGAAGCTTCCGTCTTAGTAGAAAAGATAAGAAAACAAATAAATCCATGTATGAATGCAAGAAGAGTGATCAGTATGATACAGCCGACATACCCACATATGAGGAAGTGACCCCCTATCGGCGACAGATGAATGAGAAGTACAGACTTGTTGTCTTGGTTGGTAAGTGTCTGTGTTTGTGTGTAATTCTGATGAAATAAGTGAGATAGTAAGAACTTCACCTCAAAGAGCATCATGCTTGAAGCTTTCAAGCTAAAAAAACCTCTTCCATTGTTCAGGGCCTTGAGCAGAGTATTTCCACTTAGGGCCTCCCTAGGTCGGGTCGGCAGGCCCGCTGGCCCTGTTCGTTCTTTACCGCACTGTCCAGGCATGGCCCCTCGGTGTATCTGTCATTACCGTTTCACTTTCTCTCTCCTTAAAATTCACCAACCATCCCTAAAGTATCCCAAGCCGATTTTCCTTGTTTTTATCCATCTCCGGTCTGTTTACTTGTTGGGGAGCCCACCTGGGGTAATCCTCCCACCCGCCAAGGACAAGCCCCGGGCTTGACCTTCGTCTCGCTCTGCCTTCAGATTTTAGACTGCCCCTCAGTAGGTTTCTGATGGCGTAGACAGCATCAGTGTCAGTGCTCAGAGGGAGGGCCCTCCCGTTCCCCTGGGTCTCCAGCCTCTACTCCAGGGCTTCGCAAACTTTCACACAAGTTGAGTCACTGGGGATCTTGTTGACGCAGTTTCTGATCTCTCACAAGTTCCCAGATACGCAGGCTGACCCAGGAGTGCCTTTTGCTCTTCAGCTACTGCTGCTGGCTAGGGTGCAAAGGTAGTGAGGCTCTGCACACAGGAAAGCCTTTTGGAATGGGTTCAGTTGCCATTACCTTCTTTTGCTAGTGGTGGTAAACTGGCTGCAATTTATTCTGCTATCACTCTTGTTTTGTACTTTGTGATCATGTGTTTAAATGATGGTTTTAAAGCCTTTGGTTTTGTCTTAATTTGCTGTTCAGGATTTGTTCAGTGATGTTTTAGATTTGGTTTGTCTGTTTCAATCAACTAATTTATTATTTTCAGCCTTTATTCTAAAATCCTTGTAAGAAAAATAACTATTTGAAACTGTTCAGCCCCTGACACTTTATTTCCCTATTTTGGAGCAATTTCTGGTATAATGTAATTTTTAATTTTTTAATTCCCACTCTTAGCATCACTGTGGCCTTTTGTGGAGCATGATCTTCCATAGTGGAAAGTGACAGCCAAGATTGTTGTATGTAACTGTTCTTCAAAATGTTTCCTGTTATTTGCTTCCTTCGGTGCGGTCATTGTTCAGAAAACCTTTCAGCTTGTATGTGTGGCACATTTGTAGGATAAGAATTTTAGAATTTATATCCTGTGAGATGAGGTGGTGGGGATGGTGAGAAGCGAGCCTCGTGGGCAAGACAAGCTGCGTTCCAGCCAGTTCTGCTCTTCAATAGCCCTGTGACACCTGACATTCCAAATTTTCTCAGGGCATCTGTTTCTTTATCTGAAAAATGTAGACAATACGAGCATCTGCTTTCTAGGTTTGTTTGAGTGTTAAATGAAATTGTTTTTGCAAAGACTTAGACCAATTCCTAGCACCTCAGTTAGGCTTTAATAAAAAATAGCTCTTCTGTATTAACTAAAAATATAAAGTGAGCATAGGCTTCTGCTGATTTCAAACCTTAGTACTTAAAACACTTACAAATTAAATTAGATTATTTAGCAGTTTATCATATAAAAGAGAGAATCAAGCAGTGGACTTGAATTTTGGAAATTCTGGATTGTTCCTGAATTAACTGTTTACTTTTCATTATTGTAAAGACCATATACTTAGGAAATAGTTCCTTGGTTTTTACAGCATGTGTAGAAATATTGAAAGAGTATAAGCATCGTGTCTTCCTCAAGCCTAATTCATTTTTCTCAGTGTTTTCAAAGCCATTGGGATAATGGTGTTTGCCAGGAAACTATTAGATAAATATTGTTAAGAAGGTACATAGTTTTTATTTTCTCTGTATTCTTACCACAGTATTGCACGATTTTATTCTTGGACTTAATGTTCAGGAAATTAAAATGGCCCAAGTTGTTAACATGGCAAAAATATGCCAGTGGAAGACTGAGCTTGATCAAAAGCCACATTTCAGCCACTAAAACATCTAAGTGACAGTTTATGTTATATTCCCTTTTGCATTTAAAAGTATTTTCCAAAAAGTATGTTAAGACAAAATGTCAGACATTTAGTACATTTTTCTACGTAAGTTTTATCTTTGGTGAAACCTGACTTTTAAAAGGTAATGTAATAAAGCCAATAATATATGTGTTTGCAGGGAAGGAACAGGAGAAAGTTTTAGTGTTAAAAAACTATAAAACACTTTATAGCTTAAGCCAAAAGAAGAACAAAAATTCGTCTTGTGGATATTCAGACAATTTGTGACTTGTTCTGTCTGGTTACAAGGCATAACGGGAAACTAATAATAAACCTTTCTATATGTTTCCTGTTCCTAGCTTGAGCACTAAGTACTCTTCTGCCCTCCTTTGTGCTGAATCTTATATGCTGTGTAAAGACTGCTTTGTGAGGTGGTTTGAATAGACACTTATAAGACTGTCATGTCTCCCACATAAAGCAGAGAGAAAGGTAACTCAAAACTAAATGTAAATGTTAATATGTTTATTAGAATTCCCATAGCTTTTGTTGACCTTTGAAGGCTTGAAGGAATTATTCTGCTCTAGAGGATTTTATATAGACACCTGTAATTCCCAAAGTAATCATTGGATTTATTAGTGTGTGATGGATTTAAAATTATAATCCTTGTATATGAGAGGTAAATATGATCTTTATTAGAATCTCAGTTGGCCTTTTATGCCATTGGTTCATCTTAAATGTTTATACTCCAGCTTAATTTCTGGGTATCAGTTACAGTTATGTTTATTCAGCTGATTTTTATGGAGCACCCACTGCACCAGACACTGTCCTCAGCACGTGGGTTTGTTAGTGAACAACACAAACATTCTTGCCCTTGTGGTATTTACATTCTAATGGGAGGAGATACACAAAAAACATATTTATAATAAATTAGTAATAGATAATAAAGTCAATTGAATAGTTGTTTGACTGTGATAAATACTGTAGAAGAAAGCTGAAGCCAATTAACCAATGTTACCCCAATAAATTTAATAAAAAATTAAAATTAATAAATTAATAAAAATAAAACAAAAAAGAAGAAAGTTAAAGCCGAGAAGATTTGGAGGAATCAGGAATTTGTGATTTTGAATCAGAAGATCGTGGTACTTCATTGAAAAGGTAGAATTTTTGAACAGACTCTGGTCAGGAAGTTGTCTATGCTCTCTTCTAAGTAGCTAAGGAGGACAGGGGTGGTTTTATTTTGATCTTTTAATTTTATTGCACTTTTGTCATAGCCCTGAGATAAAGGTGAGACAGTACTTAGTTTATATAAATATAGAATAAATAGCTGCTTTGGAAAAATGATGCTCTTTCAGCAAGCTTCCCACTTCCCTTTTCTTTTCTTTCTTCTTTTTCTGACATTAGCATTCAAGTGACGCTTCTCTAATAGTATTTTTCTTTCCAACAGAAGAAAGAAAATCTGAGCCTCTTTCAGGGCTTATTGCTAAGTTGCTACATTTTCTATACAGTTTGATTCCAAGGGAACTTTAAATTTAGTTTTATAAACAGACTTGTCACTCTCCAACCCAAAAATCCAGCCACCCACTAGTGAGATTATTATAAGACTATGAGTCAGATACAATAGCATGGGTGTTTTTATTTTATGCCTAGAGCAACAAAAATAATAGTGCTACAATATAAGTAGGCTTTTTACAACATGTGTCCAATCTGAGCGATACCTAGAGATTTTGCTTGATTTGTCTGCAGTAAATCAAATGAGTTAAGTATGTTTTTTCAGGTAACAAAAGCAGTTTGGATATTTATGGCAGACTCCAGTAATTCTGATATTTTTTTCTGGATGGTAAGAGTAACAAGTCTGGCCAATACCATAAAAATGTCTGGGGAAATGTGGGAGAATTTTTATGTTAAGCAGTGCAGGTACACTGGAGGTAAACATAGGAAAGCTGCACCTATGTCAGCAGCTTTCCACATAATATGCCATTTTTATGTTTGTGCCAAGATGTACAAAGATTAGTAGCAAAAGTGAATAGTACTTGGTAGAACAACAGATTTCTTTCTAATATATAATTTAATGTTGGACACAAACCCAGATTATAATGGATTTTATCATTAATTCATTATGACTGTTACATGAATATCTAATGTGTTACAACTAATTTGGCCTATTTGCACCTACCTGTATCTCCCTTTCTCAAATTGTTAGCACTATTATCTTTAGCAAAGATTATTGTCTTTTCATGTGTAAGGTAACACCCTTCTATATTTACATTATTAAATTCAATTTGATGCTCATTAGCCTTAAGAAGAACTACAACTAAGTTTTTTGCTGGACATTTACAAATGAAAATTACTTTATTCTTTGTAGACTACCTGAGTGTCATTGAAAAATATATCCCACATTTTATTGATCTTATTAAATTATATTCACATTAGTAATACATTATTGTTCTAGTACATAATCATTCACTCAGGATCTTAACACACAAATAAGTAGATGGTTGAAGCACTTTTGCTCTAGAGAGGGACCATAAAATTTTTTTAAATTTAGGATTGTCGTACTGATATTTTAAAGCAGTATATGTCTAAATGCTCCTACATAAATGAAGGCTGTGAATTTACATATGGATTTTTACATTTTTTTCCCGTTCCAATAAAAATAAAGGCATTTTTTTGCAGTTAAAAATGTGACTATTTTCTTAAATATAAACTTTTAACTAGAAACTTAACTAGCATCATTTAATTGATACCCTAAATGGACTATATTTCTTTGGCTGAAGTGAATGAACCATTAATAAAATCAAATACAAGTTTTCTACTTTCAGGAAGGATTTATTAATTAAATGCACAAAAGTAATTAATAATAATAATAAGATCTGATGATCTTAATTGACACATTTTTTACAAGAATTTCAACTAATGGGGATTGATACACATGGTTTTATTCTTCCCAGAATTTGCATACAAAGTAATTTAGTAAATTCATATGAAATTTTTAAAAATGTCACAGAACCATG